ATATATATATATTATGTTCAAAATAAACATTTCTTATTATTTTTTGTCAAATAAATATAGCTTGCATTACAAAAATTTCATATTTTGTATTTTTTGCAGTCCGCAGATGACAAGTGTTATTTTGGTATTGCAAAATGTCTACAAGCTGCATTACTGAGGTGCTAAACAGACATAAAAAGCAGATCTTAGCACACACCAAGCTAAGAGAAGGGATGCACTCCCCTCTTCTACTCCAAGTAGCGACGGTACCATCTAAACCTCCAGTCTGCAAACTAGTCAGTCAATTAGTGCACAGCTAGTGCTGGGCATTCCTATTACATTCAGAATTCAATGCATACTAAAGCACACTGCATTTAATGTTCACTTGTTGAATGAGCATTTTTAAAAAATTATTAGTAATGATTTAAAATATTAGTCTGCAAAATTAAAAAAAGTTTCCCTTTAACTGTAAATACTATTTAATTGTTTTTGGGGCGAGACATAGAACAAGTATTACATATTATTTACAGAAGCATTTTTCAGTGAAAGCTCCACCTAGACATCTCCTGGAGTGTAATTGTATCTTTATTCATGTGTAAATAATACAAAAAATGGTTGATATATAGACAATTATCATGTCAGAGTGGAGAGTCTATAGCATCGGTTTGCTTATTAATCATAGATTCACACATTTCCAACAGCAACCAAGTCAACAACATCATGTTATAACACGGTTTAACAACCCAGCATTGAAATGTAAGTCAAAAAATAATCTGTAATGGGTGTGAGACATTAGCCTGTGAAAAGGAAAGAAAACCCTTTCAAATTGAAGCTTTTTTTATTTTTGGAAATGGTTCTCAAAGTTGTCAAAAGTCACTCCTAAGAAGGTCAGCTCACATACTCTGCCAATGCTATCTGAAAGTGTTACAAATTGTTCAGAATGACATCTTGGAGCTAAAGTGCTTTAATATTCATGTGATGGAAACCCACATGGTGTGCCCGATTTCAGCTAGGTCAGCTGGGCTGGGCTGGGCCATGTCTCTCAAACTGGTGTGGAACTACTGGATTCAGCATTCCCCATCACAAGAGCAGGATCTGTTTCGTATTTAAAAGAGCACTGGCCTAATGAAAAAGTAGATTGACGAGAAAAATACGGGACCCGACACTGCTGATACCGATCTGAAAATGCTAGTTACCTGGCTGTTCTGACCTGCTGCCTTCCATATCTTCTCCAACATGGACAAGACCAGTACACAGATGAGGAGAGTCAGAAAAAAGTCAGAACTCTTAAACTGCATTTTTGTTCCAGGTCAGGGTGTCCTAACATATTGACCATAGAGGAACAGCATGACAATCTGGCAACTAACACTTTAATGAGCAATCCATGAGATAAACTTGCAATGATACACATCACGGGTCTTCCTCAACTTGGCATGGTAACATCGCTATATGTAATGGGAGAGTAGCCAATACACAGTGATCCTCTTGAAAATGGTCTATGCCCACCCCCAATACTATATTAGTATAACTTACACAAAACAGAACAAGGAAAGCTCCTGTTGCATCATGGGAGCTGACTTTTTTCTGTTGGCTCAGACCTGTCAAGCTATGACATGCTAAGGGGTAGCTGTGACCACATAGTTTTTTCCCCCAGGAACAAAGAAAAAACAGCCCTGTCTAAGCTATAGTTGGCTGTCTTGTCTCCCTGTTCCCATATGACATCACTGGGCCGATCACCAGCATGGTCACATTTAGTCACATGCTACTCCAGACCCAGAAGTAAAGTGTTTACTTTCCTCCTGGTGGTTAAACAGGGCTATAGTCACATGACCCCCCAAAATGAATGGGTATTTTCTTAGCTCCCCAGCAGCCAAACGAGCAGCGAGAGAGCCAAGGATAGAGGAGTATGTGCTGCTGGGGAGAGACTTTAAAAGGGAACCCGTTTCTTTGCCCTGCATAGGCAGAGCACAGGTTTGCTTTAAGACGGTACATAGACCATGAAAACACACCCCACTTCTTGCTGGTCACTGTACCTAAAAACAACTAGAATCTTTAGAACAGTTGTTTTTTCTTCTAGGTAATTTATCTCTTTGAAAAATATGCATGAATTTCCGCCATTGGCACCTTGGAAATAGTTGCGCTAAATAACTTAACCATAAGTTATTATGGTTAACATATAACCACAACAACATAACCAGAAGCAAAATTTACAGCTGGGAGTAGAGTCCCTTTAAATCAGCTCTAAACTAGGCAGCAGAGTCTTTAGTATAATACTATCTTGAAAACATCCTAAAAAATAACTTTCATCACTCTAGTTAAATGCTTTACCTCTGTACCTCTATACAGCATTTTTATGAATAAAAAATAGACCTAAAAATAACGACGACAAACCCAGTAAAATGCTAAAGCTTGAGCCAAAACAAATAAAAAATAACAGCGGAACCAATGAACGCGTTGTGATGTGTTCATTATTTAAGGCTGACCTAAGCAGCGAGTGAAATATACACTCTATTTCATAGTTTATTTCTGTAACAGTTTATAATTTACTCTTTTGTGTTTGTATAGGTTGTTTTTTTTTTTTTTGCTTACAGGAGGCAGATACGCCTATGCATAAATGCAACTATTACATCCTTCACAACAATGACATGAAGTTCACATTTATTTCACAGAAATGTCATGTCCTAATGCTCATCTATGCTTGGTAATTACAGATGCGGAGCACTAGGCGGCGCTCTGCGCAGTCACCGTTCTGATGGATAGATCCCAGATACAATGGATATCATGGATAAAACGAGAGAGCATGTTGTAGCAGAATTTCCCTCCGGATACGCCACACAGACTGAGGGAGACAACACATTTACAAAGCACTCATGTCTGGGATCTCTTCTCACAATGATGGCAGGCTAAGTGCCTGCGACAAAAAGAAAAGTGTCCATGGTTAAAACACAGAATCCACAAGTGTGCGTTGTCTCGGGATTATTTCTCTTGCAGCAGGGCCGGGATGTTTATGTTCCAGCCTATGGCCTGGCGATCAAAGCCGCAACTGAAGAGGTTGCAAGTCGGGTGATCTTCGCTCCAGACAGTGCAGCACACCATTCTGCGATGGCCCTGAAATTGGGTTCAAACAAAAACATCAATTAAAACAAATTTTTAGTAGGCCATTTTTGTTCATACCTATAGTTCATTGTTCCCCAAAGATGCAAAGCACCAATGGTGCTTTCAAAATACACACACGTCTAAGGTCTACTCTGCTTGGAAACATTACAAAAACTATAGGATCTTTATCACAGTCAATCACCTTATAGTTACAGGTCTCACAATACATTTATATTTCTGCAACATTTATTATCACACTTAGGATCTAAAATCATCATATTCACTTCAGATGTCCCATGTTCCAGCTTTATGGCCTCAGAAGTCCTATGTTCCACCTTTATTGTTCTCTCTCGACAACCATATTTACTGCACTGTTGAAAGGACCCTTTCTGATTCCTAGTTCACGGTGTCAGCTGACAGTTTGATAACTTAAAAGTACTGAACACCAATTTTTTTTTATACAGAGAAAGGAAGGGTTATAACCACTGTGAGCTTTGCAGCGCTGAATACTGAAAAATGGCCTGGATGGGAAGGGGGTTTAACACCGCGGATGTCAACTGGTTAACTTTGGAGTGTTATACATAAAAGAAAAAAAAAATAAGACCTACCCCGAAAATAAGACCTAGTGTGTTTTTTTGAGCCAAAAACAATATAAGACAGTGTCTTATTTTCGGGGAAACACGGTATTTTTTTGTCCATTTGTGTCCCATTAGGCAGATTTCCCTTCAGTTCCTGTCCTATAGCCACAACAGAAAGTGAAAGGAAATCCCTGAATGTCAGCAGGGTCGCCAGAACTACTGACTCCATCAGAAGACTTCCCATCTATTCCTGTTCTGGTGACAACAAAACATGAGGTTTTCTTTCACTTTCAGCGAGAGCAGTCATGGGGACAAAATCGAGAGGGTGAATCTCCCTAATGAGGACACAGACGGCAATAGAAACTTGACCGGTGTTCTAATCCTTCTTCACTCTTCTCAAAATGAGAAAAAGAAAAAAAGTTTGGGCTTCAGTTGCACTTAAAATACTTGCACTTAAGATAATTTTGCCTAAGTAGTACACATAAAAAAATGCTCCGGCCAGTAAAAATAAATAAATGTAAGCCTTGGCAGGGGTAGCACTACAAGGGTTAATTCCACTGTCTGGAATTTTTCTTAAAAATTGACCTTTTGTCTGGAATTCCTACGGATATGGAAGTGTACTTGGACATTCCTGTTTGGTAGCCTCTTTAACTTAGAACTTCAGTGTGTAATTAAGGCACTGTAATTAATGTAATTAAGGCACTCTGACTGCTAGTCACATGAGATTTGGTGAAACAACTGCTGTAGTGATCTATATTCTTGCTTGGGGTTCGGACACAAAGAAGCCCTGCCTCTACCAAAATGGCCGTCTCAACACAGGGACTCCATTTTTTTAAAGTAAGAATGAGCTATAAAGAGGGCCCAGTGTTGGGGCTGAAACACATCAGCAAGTTTGTTGCTGTCTTTACGCCATGATTATGGAAAAAAAAAAGAAGCTTTTAGAAGGATCCCGGTTTCGTGTGCCAAAGACTGCAATCTAATGGACATTCTACAGCTAACATGCACCTCTGTTGAAAGGAAGTGTAAGCCACATGGCCCAAGAACTCGGAGAGCTGTGATGGGTTTGCTGCGGCCCAAAAAGTGTTCTAAATGTTGGATGCTTTGTGATTACAGAAAGACCTGCAAAGTCTGTTTTTATTGTAATATAACAATGAAGAGAATTTTAATTGCCGATTGTGAATATCATCATCATCATGGGGGTCACAACTGCAATCACTGCATAATGTCTGCCCATTATTATATATTAGACAAGGTACGAGGAGAATTAACAGACACTTGAAAACCATAAATAGTATGAGAGGCATTGCTATTAAAAAGGTGCATTACATCTGAAGAAACCAAAATGAAATGTTAAGTCTCCGGTTGGCTTGCAAAGGAAGAGATAAAAAAAAGTTGCAAGATGCCTCAAAAAATGTATAAAACATGCCGGCTTTTAATTCGTATCAATGTTCTCCTCTGCTCCGTAACAGAACCTGCTTACCTGTCTGTTGCTACGAGGAAGGCGTGCTAATCGAACACCCGACATGTCAAATAACCGAACCTGTCTGTTGTCATGTGGAAGAGCGATGATTCTCTGGCCGACAGACACGCTAATCCTGGGAATCAGAGACGAGATTCATCAGGAGAAAATAATCATTAAACACTGATCATCACTGAGAGCTACTTCAGCACTACTGATTGTACTTGTTCTCCACTAGAAGAGTTATGGGTGGGAAATAATTAATAGGATTTCCATCGAGGAACAAGTGTATATTTATATAGATAAATACAGATACAAACTGCAGTTATACTTACATTAATGTAAACTCTAACAGAGCTAATATTTATCAACATGGCTAAAAAACAAATGCACTGTTACATTACACTTATTATAAATGTGTAGTCCATGAATAGAGCCGCCATCTACTTCCCCTCAACATGCCAAAAGGAGGAAATGAAAACAAACTAAATCCAGAATGCTTTGAATCTGCACGTTGATTTGCAGTTGTTTAATATATCACTTTAAAAGAGCAACTTTTCAAATTTGTCTGAAATAATATAAAGGCATCCTTAAATATGTTGTGAAATGGCCATTTAAAAAACACAACTGCACAATCAACTCCAAGCTTTTGCTCCCTTGCATATTTTATCATTTTTATTATACAGTGGTTTCATCCTGGCGGCCATTTGCAGTAAGGGCAGAGGTTTCCATTTGCCTTTGTCACTCCCCCTATGATGACATACACTGTATGTTAGGCGAGTAAGAGGCATAAATAAACCTATGAATGAAATCTCATGAGATTTAATTACTTCATCCATAGATCTGTACTGGACTTCTTGCATGTCTCATTACATGTCATGTTGGGGGAGAACCTTTTTCGCCAACTAAATCCCGCAGTTGACAAACTTCCTGGAAGGCATTTGTGAAGTGGCTATGTCACATGTGCCTTTTGAAGAACAGGAAGTGGCAATATAAAAATGTGTGTAAACAGATAAAGTTTTTATTTTGAAATATGACTTGGATGTTTATGAATCAGCACACAGAGTTGGATGCACCAGGGCTTTTTTATGTTTTGGGGGAAAGGCTGCTTTAAAGAATTTTGATTCCAGGCCCGATTTTTCCCCAAAGCATTTGTACCTCCTCTGCAAAGCTGATGAAGGAAGGAGAAGGGGCAGGGTGGGAGCTAATTATGAACAGGAAGGAACAGGTTGTTTGACATGGACTTGAAGGGGGAGCAGAATGATAGGGAAAGCAGAACGGCAAGTGATTGTGGCCACAGAACAAAGTGTGAACAGTGGTGGGGGGGTTGAAACTGCTGGAGAATGTAAACTCTATAGCACCTGAGATGCCACAAACATAGTGAAGACAAAAGGAAGGAGAGCTGCTATAGTATGTAGCTGGTGGAGGTGGTGGTGGGGCGCTACCAAAGCAGTTACTGCAGACACCATGGAGCACAGAAGCTAGGACAGATACTGGAGAAAGATGTCAATCCCAGGAGTGGACAGAGTGTTTACTGTTGTGGACACTGCTTAGTAAATATATAGTGGGGACAAACAATGAGGATAACAGAATGCCTCTACCAGGGCTGATCAACAAGATCTGGACTGCTTTCTATGTACTGCATACTTGTTGCTCAATATTATATCTTATTTGGATTTCTATATAATACTACTGATGTGTGAAAGATAACATATTGATCAGTGAGGTCTTTCTGCTCAGAAAGACAGAAGCTTCACTTATCTTCTAGAGCTATATTTCCACCAAAATGCTGGAAAAAAAACCATGGAGCTCATTAGGGATCATTTAAAGTAAATAATGGCATTAAATGCGATTGGACATTTGGATATCTCAGGTACAGCAGAGAGCAAAAGAAGAAGGAATCAAGATAGGAAACTACAGCTCATAAAAACAAAACGACCCTGGCCTATAAAACATTTTATATTTTGTTACCACTTAATTACTTGAGCATTATTAAAACTGAAAACTGATAGATCAGATATTTTCCATTGCTTAAAAACAAAAAATACTATAAATCAGAGTTCTGCTTAAAATTATGATTGCTTTCTCAGTAAACAAGAATAATTAACGACTTTGTTGTTGGGGTCTACACAACAAAAACCCCATGCGCTCCAACAAATGCTGAGCCATCAAATCATGTCAATCGCTGGTGGCAAATATATAACCTAGTAACAGCAATCGTACCCCATTACATTAATGTCTCAGCTCATTCGTTTGTCCTATTTCACACTCGTGAATTTTTGGCTGGGAAGAGAATGAAGAGTATTGAAATGTTATTTATATAAAGCTGCAGACTGGATCCACGTTGCTTCCTCTTGCAACACTGAAATGTGATTAGAGTTTGTCTGGAACCAGTGAGATGCATACGGATTATAACAAAACAAAATCATAATGTATTCCTTGTTTTTTAGTTGTACAATAGGGCACTCTATGAGATGAAGGACACAATGCTGGGTTCCTGGAGCACCAAAACTAATTACAGCACTATCCTTGAAATAAAAAGTTTTATTAAAAGGCGCAATACAGTAACAAGGAACACTGCTTAAAATGGATATTTCAATTCTTGGCAGATTACTTAAAGTAGCATAACCTTCCTATATATTTGAGAGACTTAAGCGGCATCTCCTCTCCATGTTTCCTACGCTACAAAAACTCACTCTCCTCACAGCATGACTACCAAATGCAATATAAACTCAAAATTCCACCGGGAAGCCAAACCCCTATATGAAAGCAGTAGCGTGATTGGTGACCCAAGACCTAAGAACTTTTGTAAGAGAACCTTGTCACTGGAGATTCCCGGAGATAAATGGAACCGGTGGTGACTCAACCCATATAGCATCACAAAACAACAATCTGGTTCCCACTGACTCTCCAAACTAGCCCTGTCCTCAAGGAATATCAACAATGTATGTTTCCCCACTACTAGGCGTTAGTCACCTATATGTGTATGTAAGTAATTGTAACTTAGGTAGTATAGCTACAAAGTGCCATTTTAATTTCTTGCTGTTGAGAGTTTTAAAGCTAAACCGGGCACTTTTTTAAAATATATTTTTCAAAATCCAGAGGGATATGAATCTACTTTATGTGCACCAAATTGGTTTTTATTATAGGAAGGTAAAGCAGAGGCAAAGTGCAGGAGGTGATAGATGCTGGATTAATACACAGATCTAAAAAAAAATAAAAAAAAAAATACACACAGGACATCAGGATTCAAGTAGGAATACGCAAGTAGACAATATTTGTTTAGCATGGAATTCACTTTAAACACTTGTTGACAATCACAGCAGACTGATTTCACTGTAATGCAAATGGGATTACATCTCTCAGCAGTGCGAAATTTAAATTTCCCATGTAGCCCTACCCTCAAGAGGATCATATGCTCTGGCAATTCTGTGCCCATATCAACCAGCTTCTGATTACAGAAACAACCAAAGATATCAAACAAAATCTAGTGCCAACAGCTACTACTGATACCATGAAAGAAATCATAACTGACGGTGCAAATTGCTTTAATCCTTTCCATTGTGCCTGCATTGTAAATTAGCATAAAATATGGGTAGGATGTATGTGAATAGGATGTATGTGAAAAGAATAAGGCTGCAAGTTGAAATTTAGGCCAAGCACACACGGATATAGACAGCGCTGGGTTTATGCCATTTGCATGACATTCCCACCACTAGATGGAACTGCAAAGCATAGGAATTTCTTAACCTCCTTGGCTCCATCTAGTGCCTGTGATGCCGTGAAAACAGCATTTGCAAAGCATATGGCTCTGCAGAACTTTTATAAAATCAGCCCCTACGTTTTGCATACTGCCGCTGAAAAACACAGCCAGCCTACCCTAACCTAAATGACTGATATAAAACACGAGCTGTCCCTGTCTAAGCAGACATCCTTAACTGTATTGCAGTTCTCTGCTATGCAGTCTAGTATGGAATATTCCATCCCTAAAGACAGCACAACCATGCAAGGAAGGCAACGTGTCACCCAGGGCAATTTTCAATTTTATCATGATGTGTCTTGCTTTGGTAAAAGTCACCAGACTATCAAGTACCCCATGCTGCTAATCAGTTTATCTTAAAGCCAAACTGAACCATGCATGCTTTCAGATTGCATACACAATAAAAATCTGCCCTCTTTCTAATTTATTATTTCAATGGCTAAGCACTGTGCAAGTGTTAAAAAAAAAAAAAAAAAAAAAACCCCCTGTGCTGCCCATCACGTATGAGAGTCAGACCACAGCTCTAACAGACCTCTCCTGATGTCCAGCACAGCTCACTGAACACTGCTAAAATCAACATCCACTCTGGCTACTTGAGCAGTGCTGTTGAGAAGAGCAGCCTTCAAGGGAGAATGTTAGAGAGCTGGGCTGCTGATTGTGTGTGAGAGTGGCAGTCCGACTCTCCTAGAGCTGCCAGCACAGGGATTTGTAACTGTTGCTGGAGCACTTCGCTGACAAAAACAAAGTAAAAATGAGGCATATTTATTACTGCATATACATCAATGTAATAAAGATGGTTCCGTTCCCTTCAATGTCATTTTATTTTTAGCCAATATTTTTTAAATTTATAGAAGTTTTGATAAAAGGGCCCTTTATGGTTTAAATAAGAATATACCTACTGAAACATTTGTCTTGCAAGAGGTTTTATTTTCATAACAAGGATTTTAAAATTAATTGAACAGCCTTAGAGTACACATACCAATGGTTTAGAGAATGTGACCAAGAACAGTATTAGATTTATGCATACTCGTTTACTAAATATATTTATACTTGTGTGCATCTCTGTACCTCGAAATTATAAATAAAAAATACACATTATTATAGATATATATATATATATATATCTATATCTATATATCTATATATCTATAGATATATAGATATATGGATATAGATATATTTCCATCCCTAGAGAATGAGAGAAATATATGAGCATTAACTGTGTACAGGGTTGCTGCCTGCTTTTCTTCTGTTCAGTCACATTCTATCGAAGGCCATAAAGGAGTAAGGAAAGAGTTTGTACATGCAGAGCTGTGATCCTCAGTAATACAAGAGGCTTCTTTTCCTGGGCTGCCGGATTGCGTCTTGAGAACAGAGTTTGTTAAGAAGGTAAAGGCACGTTCTAAAAGGACTTTTCCTTCTTAAAAGACTTAACATTGACATTTTCTGTCTGAGTGATGTAGAACGATTCCTGGTTTCTTTGCTTTATTCTTTAACAGGTAAGGATGAAAACAGTGATGTACCTGTGTGGAGCTTGCAGCAAGGAGAAAATACTTTGCATGCTTATCCAAACACGTCCAGCAACCAAACAAATCACAGGCAGGGAGCTATACCAAATACTGTCCTATTTAATCAAATACAACCTTGGTTTAAAACTAAAAAAGTTCCACAAAAAAAAAAATACACTTGCTGTAGAAAATGGTATAAAACATGTTTCTTGTACCTGTTTACTGCGGAGTCCGTACGAATAGTAGCAATGGGTGATCTCATGTTCTTTAAATCCCAGACTTTCACAGTACGGTCATCACTTCCTGACACCACATTGTCCCCCACGGTGAATACAGCAGAGGTCACGGTGCTTCAAGAAAAAAAAAAAGCATTAATAATTACAATGCCCTCTGTAGCTGCGGGTACATTGGAGCAATTCGTCCTCAAAGTGCATAACAGCAACACTGAAATTACAGCTTATGCCCCTTTCTGCCGGCCATTTAATGTAGACAAACAGCAAGTGATATAAACGGTTTAGAAATAGGTGGAGTAGAGGAGGTAAAGGGTCTACAAATAGATCATAACACAGGTAATGTTAATGCATATTTTGCTTTCAAAGCTGAGAAGGCAGTATAGAGTACACATTGAGAATGTAGATTACCAATTGAGTATTTTCCACTCAAAATCTGCTTTCAAAATAGAACACTTTTTTTTGTTATCGAAATTAGCTCGACTTGATGGACTTATGTCTTTATTCAACCTCAAATACTATGTAACTATGTAACTCTTGGAGAGCCAAACACAGAATAATCAGGCAGCATGTGGGCAAAAAGAATTACTCTCTGGCCTATAGAACAGTCACTTTTCTATATATTGGGGGACTACTCCAGTCCAAACTAAAGCACACAAGTAAGGTTGCCCATATGGTCCAAAAAACAGCATGTACGGAAGCGTCTCAAATGGTTCAAATTAACGTATGCACTGTATCATGAAAGTTCATTTGAGGTTGACAGACTCTTGTCAGGATGGAAGCCGAATTCAAATGTAGGAGGCATCAGTGTAGGTATATTTTACAATGGCTTCCATGGTCCCAAGAATGATACGGTACCAGCACTAAACACGTTTATCTGCTGAAATTTGGCAGGCACCAAATGTCAGTCCTAAAGACTTAACCAGCTGTAATGTGCCCATGTCTGGTCTAGTGACCTCTATGTGTCAACACTCCAAAGCTACATTAAAAGAATAGTTTATTTTATGGAATCAAATTGAAAGGCTTTTATCTGGATCTGGAAGTCAATTTAATGCTTCCGAGGACTAGATTAGGAAAACGGATTATCTGGCTGGCCAGAGATATCTGCCGGGCCTTAAACCTTTAGCTATTCTTCAACCGTTGCCAATGCATCTTTAATGAAGTTATTCTGTTTTCTGCTTAAAAATAGAACAAAAGGTTTTCACAGAAATGTTTTAGCAAGTCTAAAACCCATCTGTGTTCTACTATAGATCCCCCCAATGGTCAGAAATGCAGGTCATGGACCCCAAAGGAAAACCCAATACTGACCATCACAAGCAATGCCCATACTGTATAGCCAGCCCAAGATCTACCACATGTTAAATCAGACCTGTATATCTACAAACAGAAATGTGCATAAAGTTTCAAGATGATATTTAGCCTACTTAGAATGCAGGAGAAAAAAACAAACCATGGCACATTTTCTGTCCGAAATCATCACATTAATTCAGGTTTGTCAGCTTATCCTTCCAGTGCATTTGATTTCCTGACACATGCCTTAGCAGGGGTCATGAACATCTATTTCGGTGAATTTTGTAATTTTAATTTAAAATGTCAGTTGTTTCTGTCATTTCCCCGGTACTGCGGGAATTTGATTTCATGTTCCATTCAGTCTGCTGATTAGAGATTAGCACTATCCAGGTCACAAAGGCCCAATTTACGCAAGCCCTCTTAATTTAAATTGACATCAAATTAGGTTCTAATTAGGACCCGACCATACTGCATTAATGAGACAAAGTTGCTTAATGTAATTTCAGAGTGCAGCAACATTCCTCGTAAAATGATATGGCACCTAAATCCGTTCTGCCGTCCATTAACCCTTTCACAAGCGGACTGGTACAGGCATTACGTTTGACCCTTGAGCCCTGTGTAAAACTATTCTTGGAACCTTTAACAAGAATTTGAGTAAAAAAGTGAGAAGTGTTGCCGTAATTAACTTGTCTTGTCGTTTCTCTCAAGCCTAAAAAAAATAAGCTTTTTATTCCTGCAGAATACCGCAGACTTCATTTGCATACTGGAAACAAGTTTTATATGCAAAAGTACATTTGGTACATTTTTCAAATCATAAAATGCATGCAAAGTTCAAAGGGTCAATTTGGCCAATGATTAATAAATAACACTAGTTTAATGGAAAAGCAAGAATGCGGTTTTAAAATGAGGAACTAGTGAAATTAAAATAAACATGTCGAAAACTTAGTTAAAGGGGTTCTAAACTCTCCGTTTTTTTTTTGCCTATATCTACTGCTAGCAAGCAGTAGATATCGTCAAAAAGTTTTTTTGTCTACAAATAACGCTTTAACAGCGGTTTAAACTTACCTCGTTATCGCTGCGCACTCCCACGCTGAGAATCAGGAACTGCTCGTGCGGCCGCAAAGGATCTTGGGGCGGGCGCATGCGCAGTTCGGATTCTCGGCCGGGAGACGAGCAGAGAAGCAAGGTAAGTCTATGGACTCGTGCAACCGCGTACACCTGCATGCAGACACCGCTGGATTGGAGGGACAGAGCAGTCAGCGCTGGATCGGAGAGCCACCGCACCGCTGGAGGGACAGATGAAAACATCAGGAAAGAAGAAGATCGGAATAAGAGACATCATTTAAGGTAAGTGCTAACATTAACATGGGGGGAGGGGAATTTTTTTTTAACTTTAATGTCACTTTCATTCAAGCTGAGCATATGGAGGAAAATAAAAAAAACATCATCAGAGGCTACTTATAGTGAAAAGTGCATGTCAGAACAGTCAGTACATAAAGCGAGAGCGCAGCTAAAGTTATACACAAGTCTTCACTTTTTCTGTATGATGTAATCTTACCCCCATCTCCTGCTGAGGTTCCTTATTGGGCCTTTAATATGAGGCATGATGTCTAAGGATGAGGAGTAAAAGTGATTTTTTATTTTACCATAATTTTGACAAAAATCAGTAGATTGTGGGTTACGAGAGATGCTTTCAACAATCCCGGGCCTGTAATTGTTCTAAGAACCTCATTCATTTATTTTTTCCCCAGAAGGAAATACAGTCAGAAAAGTAAAAACCAAAAATTAAACTTGAGGTACACCAATAATTAACATAATAAAAAATGGAAACAAATACAAAGAACACTAAATTAAACAACTGAGAATGCTGTAAATACACCCAAACAAAACAAACAAAAGAAAAACACCTTTTGTAGAAGTTGCCCGTTCATAAACCTAAAAAAACAAAAAAGTTTTAAGGCGTGGATAATCTACACTACAGAAATATACCGCATGTAACGCAAAATTGCAAAATAATTAGGAAAGGGCACATGCTATTTATTAAACGGCTTAAGCCATGACAATTCATACATGGTGAGGAGGCTGAGGCTGCTTAAGAGGTAACCTTTGTCATGAATGACATATGACACAGCAAGAAGGCAATTTATCTTTTGCAGAGGATAAAGAATTCATTGGGAATTGTGCAGTATGATAACTTGTAATGCCAATTTTTAACCCCAGAAAACAAACATTCTGGATTCCATTCATGACCAAAAACATGCAACAGGCCTTTGTGACCACTGTAGGGCTGCAACAACTAATCGACATAATCGATGATTGAAAAAGTTGTCAACTTTTTCAATCATCGATTAATCGGCTTTTGATTAGTTGGCCCTGTCCACAGCTCCACAAACACTGCGCGCCGCACCTCCTCCCCACCTCACGCTCGCCGCTGCTAGACCTGCCCACCCGCATTCACGCTACACACGCCGCACCTCCTCCCCGCCTCACG